GGTCAGCTTGACCCCGGTAGGGTGCGTGTCCCTGCGTGTCTCCGCAGTCCCCACCTGCAGCCCGCGCCCTCCCGCACGCGCCGTCGAGGTGCGAGGAGTCTCCGCCCGCCCGCCCGCCCGGCCAGGCCACGGCGTACCGAGCGAGGCGGCGGCGCTCCTCAGCCGGCCTCCATGCGCGCGTCGCCAGGCTGACGGGGTGGGGCGGGGCGGGGCGGGGCGGCCGGACGGGCCGGACGGGCCGAGGGTGCGGGCCGCACGGCATGCCGGGAAACGCCTCCCAGGGCCGCGCGCGCGCGAGACCCCGCCCTCGCCGGGGTCTAAGCGCAGGGCTCCGCCTACCGGCCCGACGCCCCCAGGTCCTAGAGAGCAACCCGGAGCACGCTGCGGGGTGCTGCTCCCACAGCCAAGTGTGTGCAATGGGGCTGCGTTCTTTAGGCGTCCACACAATGGCCTAGCGTCCAGGGAGCAGTCAGCAGCACTGGAAGGGGACAGAAACTAGGGATCGTATGACGTGCCCTTATGGCTTCCTAGGAGGATCCCATGCCATCTGGAGAGGCTCAAGAGCAGGACTAAGGATCAAGAAGCTGGCCTAGTCAGCCACCTAGGCCATTCAGGCCCTCGCAAGTCTGAGTGTTTGCTGCATGTGACCGAGTTTGGAAACTGTGGGGTCCCTGGGTGGGCGGGGTTCCAGTGATAGCCTCACCAGTGCCCAGTATGGTAACCCAGGCCTCAGGGAAGCCAGTCTCCAGCTGCACCTTGGAACAAGGCAGGGATGGGGAAAGTTGGCCCACTCAGGCCAGGTCTCCAAGCTGTAGAGGGTTGCTGGTCCTCTTGCCCAAGGTTGGTGAATGCATGGGAGGGGCCAGGTGGGCCCAGAGTGGACATTTCTCCATTTGAGTCCCACAAGATAAGCTACTATGGGGGTCAGAAAGGGACGACCCGGAGCAGGCCCTGACACAGACCCCCTAAAGGTGGGTCAAGCTCTGCCCAGTTCTCAGCTGCCCCATTCAGCCCTTTCAGATGCCAAGCGCGGAGAGGATACAGCCCTGGCCCTGGGTTTGGAGACCCTGCCTTTGATACTGGTCCTTTTGGAATCTGGCTATTGTGGGGGAGTTAAAACTCTGCACAAGGCAGGGTTGCCGCCAGCAGGCATTACCCAAGAGGTCCACATGGTGACAACCGGCAGCTGTTTGCTGCCCCACTGGTCACCGTCTCCTCTATACAGCTTCTTGGTCCCCTAAAGGTCCTGGCTTCCAGGTAGCCCCTGCCTTCCTTGCTCCTTTGTGACACACGTCTCTGTTCTGGGCGACTCGGACTTGTCCCTGTTGCTCACATCTTTTATGCCTGAGCTCCGTGGTTTCCTCCTCTTCTGGCCTCCTCAGCCACATTCCCAAGACTCAACAGAAGGCAGGGATGGACTTAGAGTCGAGACTGCCAGCCCCTCTCCACTTGCTCACAAAGCTCAGTGAGATTACTCTCCCTGTACCTGTACTGTTTGTTTGAAAATGTCAGTGCTGGGCTAGTGTCAGAAAGGGGCCTGGACTCCAGTCCTGGTTGACTGGGATAGTTCTCCCTGAGCGACAGCTGTCCTCTTCTATGGGCAGACCATGGTGTCACCTCCCGTTTGCCCTTCCTGGGGAAAGAGCAAAGAAGGCAGAGACTGGGGTGACATTTGAATAGTTGCTGACCCTGAAGTGCCATAATTCTATTTTGGCTAAGTGACTGTTGGGTGAGGATGATGAAAACCAGAGTTGCCCTCTAACCTGCTTGTGTCTGCAGGGACCAGAAATAGGAAATGGTTTCTGGGGGACATGTCCAGCCATACTGGCAGGGAAACTATAGTAGATCCTCAGCTGGTAGAGCCCAGGTCTCTCCTATTATCTTAGGCTTTGTTTAGAAGAACAGCATACTAGCTTGAGTTCTGCCTTCCAACAGCTGCTCCCAAGCATGCTTTTTGTTCAAGCAGGCTCTGTTCTGCCACAAGGTGAGTGGGTGACTTATCACAGAGTTTGCCAAATGGAAGGTCCCTTTGTTCAGCAGAGCAGCCATGGGAGGGGCTTTGTGAGGTGAGCCATGAAGGGAGCCAATGCAGGTAAGGCTTGCAGTGAAAGGGTTCGCCATGGCCAGAGGGGCCCAGAACCCTTATGAAGAGATAGGCAGCTTTCTGAAGCCACTGTGAGTACACAGAGTGAAAGGCCTTCCTGGTCCCCGGTTAGCTTTGAGGGGTGCGGTAAGGAAAGGTCAGGTTTGAGAGCAGCATACACAACCTGAACCAGACAGGTCCCACAGGAGGAGAGCGGGGCTAGAGGTTAGGAAGGGAGCCCTGAGTTGGCAAGGGGCTCAGCCTTGTGTGACTCCAGGGATCACTATTGTTCCTTCAGGTCCCTGGCCATCTATCTGCTCATGGGAAGGTAGGACAGCTAATGGGAACATGGAGCCAGAGGACACTTTGGAGGAGGAGGGTGACAGTATGCCCATTACCCACCATGTCGTCAGCTTCTTCAGACACTGATCTGAGCCCCTTGAGGGTCAGCTCCACACAGCCTTGTCTCCTCATGGCACCAGCCCCTTCCAGACGGGACTGTTCTGAGAGGTCCCTCTAGGCTCAATCCAAGAGTGGAGGTGAGAAGTGGCTGCTTTATTGATCTCGGTTCTCCCAAAGAGCCAGCCACAGGCTCCAATAGGCCCAGCCTCTCCCATGTCTACCCTACCCTGTAAGAGCTCCGGAACAGCATGCCCAGCACTGTCCGGACCGTGTATGTCAGTGGCACCTGCCTTCATGAGCAGGGAACAGGGCCTACGAGGAAAGCATAGCGGCTGGACTTGGTACCACACAGACCAGTGCCTTTCTAGAGTCTGAGCATCTCCCGCTCCGAGCCAAGCCCCCGAGCTGAGGTTGTGGGGAGTGGGACTAATACATGCAGGGTGGACGACATACCACGTGCAGGAAGTGGATGGATATTGTGAGCAGAGAGGACCAGGGAGCAGGAAAGAGGCCAGCAGCACCCCGAGTTTTCTTTTGTTGCTTTAGCGGCCATGCCTGCTGGACACTGTGAAGGGGCCAATTTGTAGACGTGGGCCATGGCATCAGGGCTTGTCTTCTCCAGGGAAGCAAGCAGGCTGGAGGCAGCCAGCTGATCTCCCAGGGTTCCTTTGGGTCTCAGCAGCCCCTTCTTAGAATGTCTGGGAATGCTGAGTACTGCTCTGGAATGCCAGGGACAGTGAGTGTCCAGCATCAGCTTAGGGTGGGCTTTCTGAGGACAGGGTACATTTCCTATGTTGTATTGTTCGTGGTTTGGGTTTGACTTTGAGACAGGGTCACACTCTGTAGTCCTGGCTGGCCTCAAGCTCTGAGAGATATGCCTGTCTCTGCGCCCCAAATGCTGGGGTTGTATGCTGTGGTGCCACACCTGGCTGTCTTCCATATTCTGATCTGCTGACCTGGGAGCTTTGCTGGCTCTGAACAGGTGCCTGTCTTTTAAGGCAGGCCACTCCCCAGAGCTGGCATGTGACACCATGTGCAATGCCCATCACTACCCCTTCCCCATAGTCTGGGCCACTGTCCACCTGTCCCAGTCACTCCAAGGCAGGAGTGAGGCACAGCCGTGCGTCCAGCAGCCACAGAGCTCTCGTCTTTCTCTCGCCTGACCTGTTCCTTCCTATGGATGCCCATAGACTTGTTTCCCGCTCACCCCCTCTGCCAGTGCCTCATCCCGATGCTCCCTGGTGTGGCCCTGTGTGATGTGGGATGTCCCCTCTATTGTCTGTGAGTAAGAAACACCTTTCCTATGGCAGGTATCTGAGCTGGAGGTGTGACTCAGCGACAGAACACTTGCCTAGCCTATTCAAGCCCTGGGATTGGCCTCCAGCATCCCCCAACTAAACCAGTGGCAGGGTCCTGTGATCTATTTTGGCCATAAGTAGATACTAACAAAACATTTAAAAACAACCCACAATGTGATCTCTGCATGGTCAGCATGCTTGGCTTTGCTGTGGTAGCGGCTGCTGCAGTAGGTGACATGGGAACACTTTGCTCTGCCCACCTCAGGGTTGTCCCATGGCTAGTTAAGGGGCTTTTAGGAGGCACAAGCCAGGCAGAGGTGGCTGTTCTGATCTCGGCTGAGGCCCTGTCTTGGTATACAGCCTATGCCCCTGAATGTCCATGAATTGCTGGCCTAGCTTTCTCAGCCACCTGTTGTCTTCAAGGAGTCTCTTGTTCAGACCCACGGGGTCACCTTCCCTGGCCTGCAGGGCATGTGGCTCTATAGGACCAGCTTTGTCTCACTGAACCCTGGGCCTGAGGTTGAAGTCCTTTTGTGGAGCTTCTGATGAACACGATAAGTGCACCTGACCACAGCCAGGACCTACCGACCAAGAACCCTTCCTGGATCCTGCTGGCTGTGTCCCTGGTAATACTTCAGGCTGTATGTGATGGTCTGAAGAAGAGTGGCCCCTGTACCCTCATATATCCAGCTGGTGGATTGTTGAGGAAGGATTTGGACTCGTGGCTTTTTTGGAGAAGGTGTGTCACTGGGGTGGGCTTTGAGGTTTCAAAAGACAGACCCCACTCTCTCTGCTTCCTGCCTGCAGATGAGGATGTAGCTCTTACTACTGCTCCTGTGCCGTGCCGACTGCGGCTGTGCTCCCCGCCATGTTACAGCCTAACCCTCTGAAACTATAATCAACCCCCCGATTGAATGCGCTCTTCTTTAAGTTACCTTTGTCACGGCGCCTCTCCACAGCAATAGAACAGTAGCTAGGACACTATATCCCTCCCGAAAGCTCTCTTAATACTTTGCCCTCCCACAGTCCCACCGCCCGGCACCCCGTGGGCCCTCCTCACACCTCTGGGTGGAGGCCTGATGCTCTTGCATCTTGGGCTGCCTGGCCCTGCCCCACTGCTTCCCCAGTGGCTCCAAGAGATGCCCAGGTGTGGATGGGTGTTGCAGGCTGGGCAGGCAGCACTAGTACAGGGAGGCGGGGCCTCAAAGCACAGGGAGTTATCAGAATAGTATTTATTGATATGCTCAGTGCTACCTTGTTAATACTTCGTCACGTGGCGCGTGGCTGAGGTAATAGGGGTGGGGCCAGTGGGGCCTGGACTCCCGTGGGAAGCAGTCCAGCCAGCAGCTGGGGACCCGGGAGGGGGATGTGGTTATTGCGTTGTATTCCTTCCCTCGCTTGCACCCTGGTGCCTATGCCTGCTCTCACCCACTGCTCACGTGGGTGCCGCTCGCACGCTCACACACACTCAGGCTCACACTCACACCACGCCTGCCCCCTACTTGTTCATGAGCTTGCTTGTGTCTGGGAACTGTGCCCTCTGGCAAACTCAAGCACCCAGGCAGGTGCTTACACCCACCCCTGCGCACCCGCGCTCCACACCCACCCCTGCTTACGGCACTCTCTCTCACACACACACCACCCTCTGCTTTAAATGCACCTTAGTTCTCCTGGTGATAGATAGGCTCGTCAGTTACAGTAGTCATAGTAAAATAAAGTGTGTGTCGGGCTAGGAGGAGAAAGTGCATGTTGATTCGACCTGGGGCAGCCCTCGGGTCCCCCACCTGAAGGCATCAGGTCCCTCTGCAGGGGCCAGGCCCTTCAGTGAGTGACCCCTGGGGTGTGTCCTGAGGCCAGTGTCACCTTCCTCGGCATCCTCCTCACACACCCTAGGCTGGGCCCAAGTGGGTCTACTGAGTCGTCTCAGCACACAACAAAACCCACAAAATAAATAAATAAGCTCTCCCTCTTGTGGCCCAGCACACAGGGGGCGCCTGATGCCAGGATGGGCACTATACCCCCACCTTGCGCTCTAGCCCCAGACTGCACCTGTGGATGCCATGGTGAGCCAGGTGGAAGGCGTGCTGGGCCCCGTGGCATGCAGACAGGAGGCTGGGGGCGTAGGCAGTACTGGGTGAGCAGAGGTCATGTCTACTCAAGGCTAGACTCAGCTGGGCCATCCCTGGCTCATGCAGAAAGTTTTGGTGGCCTGGGAGGCTCTGCCCCTCAAAACTCCACAGTACTCACAACTGTTCTCGGCTCCTCGAAGGTGGCGATGAGGATCTGCTGGGGTGGGGGGATGGTGAGGAGGTCGCCCATGTCTGAGGGTGCACAGGGACCTCCTTCCTCCTCTTCCCGGGCCTCGTACAGCGTGCTGATGTGGAGCAGGGGGTGAGTGGCATTTCGGCTCAGGATGGTGAGGGGGTCAGGCTTGCCCAGACTGCCTGGTGACAGGGGGGCCGCAGCAGGACCCGCGGGGGGCGAGCAGACGTGAAATGGGCCCCCAGATGGAAGTCCTGGTAGGGCAGGCTCTGTGGGGTATGGGGTTTCCTTCTCGGGGGGCGGAGCATCTGCAAACAGGCAGGAACACAGGCATTTCACAATCTAGCTCATTCACTCCTACAGCCCTCCCAGTGTCAGCCATGGGACCTGCTGGGCCCCTAGCTTCCATGGATGACAGGCATCCCTGCACTCAGCAGCCTGCCTGGCTAGGCTCACTACCCAGGAATAGCAGCGCTGTTTGCTGAATGCCCACTTGCCGCTGCAGTGGCTTACATCTGCCTGAAGCCCTTATTGATCGTAGGAGATAGTCCCTGGTGGCAGCTGCTCTTTCTCGTCTTCCTCTGTCTTCCAGGAGCATCCAGACTCCTATTAAGCCTGCACCTCACCCTAGGAGCAACCCACCAGCTGGCCATGCTGTTACCAAGCGAGCTAGCTTGGTTGTCTCTGGTGTCTTATGCCCTGTGTCCCAGACACGGGGACTGCTAGTTCCCTGCTCAGGGCTCCCTGGGAATCTGCATCCAGTCCCATCCCCGACCTGCCTGGCTCCCTACCTTTGGTGGGTGCTGCAGCCAGACCCAGCCCACAATCTTCTGTCTGGGACAGGAAGCCACCTTCTTGGCTCCGGGAGGCTGGAAGGGCAGGGGGTACTGCTTCAGTCTTGGCCTTCTTGGTACCTAGGATGTAGGGATGTACATCCAAGGAGAAGTGGCGGGTATGTTTCTTGTCAGAGGCAGCAGGTGGGGCAGGGGAGGGGCCTGTATCACCTCCACTACCCTTGTAGTGGTGGGCAGCCCGGGCACCAGCATCCAGCAGCGGGGCAATAAGCGTGTCTGTGGCCGTTTTCCTGCGTACAGGCTTGGGCTTCTCAGCCTTGCTGTTTTCCACACGCATAATGGCCAGCTGCTCCTTGAAGGGCTGTGGCAGCGGGTTGCTGGTGGGGATCCACTTCATTTTCTTACGGGGCCGCTTGACCACGGGTGGCTCGGCAGAGCCGTCGGGCTCGGCAGGGTTGATGCTGGGGTCCACAGTCTGGATGCCCGAGTCCCGCACAGTGGGCGTGGCGTCATGGTTAGACTGAGCCAAGGCTGCCAGCAGCTGCCGCACCACATTGTCATACATGAGGTCGCTCTCGTTGGTGATGAAGTCCAGTCGATTGAGCGACTTGATGTGGTCACGGTTCTCGTTGCAGAACATGGCCAGGATGTTGATGTCGCAGAACTGCGAGCGCCGCCACTGCCGGCGCGTCTTGATGCCCACCTTGTGTAGTTTGTCAAAGATGAAGTTGCTCTTGCGGAAGATGAAGAGGTGGATGAGGTTGACGAGGATGATGAGGTTCATGAAGCAGAGCAGCACGATGTCCACACCGGCAATGATCCGCTGCAGTTGCACAGATGGCAGCTTGCAGTTGACACGCACCGTGGGCCCAGCGCTACCCACTGGCCCGTCAGGTGAGGCGCCCAGGGCACAGGTGAACTCATTCTGCTTCTGGGTGGCATAGTAGGTGCACAGGTAGGAGATGGGCACTACGCTGAGTAGCAGGATCAGTACATGCCGTGCCAAGTACAGCTTGGCCAAGAAGTTGCTGCGGCCCCGGCGCTCCAGGTACTTCTCGAACAGATTCTGCTCAGGGCTCTTCTCCTTCTCAGCGTTCTCGATGATCTCTCGCTTTTCACGCTCCGTGATGCCCGGCCCCTTGGACTGGATCTGCTTCTCAATCTTGGGGGCACGGCCCTCGGCTGCTCGGTGGTAGCAGTTGTCAATCTCCTGGAGCAGGAAGTTGAGCTCAGAGGTGAGGCGTGTGGAGGCCAGGAACTCCCAGCCGAGTGCGGGCACATACATGATGGCGGCAAAGGCCAGCAGTGCGTAGGGCAGGAACTTGTGCTCAAACAGCGATGGCCACAGGCTGGCATCCACGCCGGGCAGCGCATCCCGCAGCTCTGTCCAGCAGTAGCCACGGGCGTACAGCGCCTGGTCACGGGTGAAGTTGTGCGGAGTGTAACAGTAAATTGGTTCCTCTGAGGGTAGAGAGGAGACATGGGCTAGGGCAAGAGGTGGGACTGCTCTGAGAAAGACCAGGTCTTGGGATGAAGGGCATGGGATAGACCTGATTCCATCTCTGCTCAGACCCCTCCCCTGTGCAGGCGGCTGGGCTCTCTCTCATGTCCATGGCATACGAAAGCCCCTCCCATAGAGCTGCTTGCCTTATGCAGGGACTGCTGTTTCCAGATGGACCCACCCCTCAGGCCACTTTTCCCTCACTATGTCCTGGCTACAGTGTGGCATATATGGCTCCTGTCCTTACAAGTGGCTAGCCGGGGGTCAAGACCTGCTTGTATAAGCTGAGGAACTGACCAGTACCGTTTATCTAGTCTAGAAAGGCCACAGAGACTGTATGTACAGGACAAACCAAGGTCTAGAGAGGATAGACACAGGTTATGCTGAGCCAGTGTCCTCTCTTAGCATCCCACATGGACCCATTACCAGTCCCTGACACTGGCTTTGTGCTGTCAGGACTGGTGGCCTGGATGTTCCAACCTAGCCAGAGGCAGTCACAGAAGTCCAGACTCCATGAAAAAAATTGCCTATGACAGGTGAAAAGGGTCTCACAAGTGCCCCTGTCTGGGAAGAAAGGAAAAGTGGGAGCCTTGGATGCTGGTGGACAGTTAGTGAAGGCTCACTGGCTGGTCACATCTGCCAATGGACAAAGGGCCTGTCTGCACCTGCTTAAGTGGGCACACGCCCTGAAGCAAAGGATGTTACACATGCTCGCACCAGGCCACGAGCAGTCTCGAGCTGCAACCGTACGCTTTTGATTTGTTTTCAAAAACTTGGAGGCTCAAGGCCCACCAGACTGTGTCATGATCCCCAGGTACCAGACCGTGGCCACCTGTGGCATTAATCCAAGCCAACTCCTCCTTAGCTATCTCTCTTACCCTCAAGACTGGCCCCAGGGCAGGTCAGCTAGAAGCCTGGCTGGCTCTAGCTTAAAGCCCTTCGCCGGTGCTGAGATCAAGAGCTAACAGGATCTAACTGGCTAGCTAGTCTGTCTGAATCTAGCCTCGAGTTAATGTAGACAGGGAGATGGCAGAGACCCAGCCAGGCCAGCTGGAAGACTAATTTAAGAGTTTGAATATGGCCAGGCGGTGGAGGCACACACCTTTAACCCCAGTATCTGGGAGGGGGAGGCAGAGGCAGAGGCAGGCAGATGGATCTCTGTAAGTTCAAAGTCAGCCTGGTCTACACAGAGCATTCCAGGGTAGCCAGAGCTGTTACAGAGAAACCGTCTCAAACCCCTCCCCAAAGTTTGACTATGAAGTTTCCCATATAGGCTCATGGATTTGAACATTTGTGCCCATCCAGTGTTTTGCTAGATGTGTGGCATCTTTGGGAGCTGGGGGGCCTAGCTAGAAGCAAAGACTAGGGGAAGGCCACAACGGTTATATGCACCTCAATGTGAATGAGCTATGCCAGGAGCACTCGCCATGGATGGAGTCCCCTAGCCATATGTCTTCTCCTCATGTATTCCCTGAAACTGAACCAGACCAAATCCTTCCTCCGTTAGGTCGTTTCTGCCACGGCAACTAGAAAAATAACCAATACAGATGTTAATCACAGTTGATGCTTTCAGGGGTCCAAGAGGCAGGGGCTGCACATTCTTGGCCCCATTCTAACTTAGCCTAGGACCTTGGTCACCATTTGGGGGTATATCCATCTGTCTACACAGCCTCACATCATGGAAGCGTAAAGAAGTTTAGGGCTCAACAACTGCCAGAACATAACCCAGTCAAGTTTGTACACCAAAGGTAGGGCCTGTGTGGCCACGGGTCTTCCTCACATGGTCCTGGGAAGTATGGAGGGCTCCAGTAGAGGTGTGAGTGAACTAGACAGTGAGCCTTGCTTAGATGGCCAGGTACTGGGATTCCTCGAAGCGGGGGGCCATGCCCACATGAGAGGTGGCCACCTGGCCACGGTCAGGGATTGAAGAGGAGGCTACAGACAGTCAGGAAAAGCTGATCTCTTTAACCTGAGGTCCTGGAGGACAGGTATCCAGGCTGGATGAGCTGGGCTCTGAGGAGAGCAAACGGAAAGCAAAGGAATCAGCTCTCTTGGTTGAAAAAATGGAATTTTATTCATCTGCTTCCCCACACCCCCAAGGGCCCATCCCGTGGGGCCAACCTCCTCTTCCATTGGCCTGTGTCTGCAGAGGCACATGGTGCTTCTGACGGCAAGGCTGATGCCAAAGACCTAGAGGAATGTAGGTGTTCAAGCACGGCTTGCCACCAGAGGGTGGTGATGCTGTGGACTTGTCCTGCTGGGCCTGAACTGGGCAGGATGGCAGCTACCCAGGTACTGGACGCTCTGTCCAGATACAGTAGCTGCATGAGCTTCTCTGTCTGAGGCCCCTTTCGTGGGATTTCCTAGGGGTGATGAGGTCTTGCCTGAGTAAGTACAGGCAGGTACTCAAAGAGGAGACACAAAAGCTGGTCCATCCCAATGTCGACAGGGCTATCTCTGTAGAGTGCTGTTAAAGGGTCCTTTCCCCAGAGGATGGGAATGTGTGTACCTGGGTTGCTGGACACTCTGCTGCTCATGGGAGCACACTGAGAGTCCTAGTCAAGGAAACTACTTGTCAGTCAGACACTAGCTAAGACTGCCTACCCCATCACAGTGGCATGGAGTCAACAGCAGTAACCACGGAGCTCTAAATGCTTGTTGTAGCCTCCAAAAGAGCAGGTCTAAAAGAGCACAGGCCTTACACTATTTAGAATTCTGTGCAGGGTTGGGCTGAACTTGAGCCTAGACACATCTCCAGCCTACTCTTTGGGTCCAGCCTGCACGTAGCTCAGCTCACTTAGGCCTCTGTCACTTGTTGAAGGAAAACCTTTCAAGGGATCCCTGGTCTGCAGAGGCTGTTGCCTCTGGCCAGCTCACAGCTACCATTGCCCTCTGAGCTCCCCCTACCCCAGGACAGGTTCAAATCCATCCCAAACTCCTTCATGGTGGAATGGTAGCTCCCAAGATGACCACATTCTGATTTCTGAACCTTGTGACTGTGTTGCTTTGTGTAGTAAAAGGGACTCTGCAGCAGGGATTAAGGACTTTATAGGAGATGATCCTGGATGGCCTGAGTGGGACAATGCAATCACAAGGGTCCCTTTCAAAGGTAGGCAGTGGTAGACAGAGTGGGCCAAGTGATATGATGCAGCTAGGTCCTGAAGATAGCAGACTTGTCACTGGAAACTCTAGAAGGACTGTCCTACCCACAATTTATCCATATTGTAAAACTCACTTAGGATGTAGGGCAGATGCTTTTCTTAATTTTTAAACTTGTGTGTGTGTGTGTGTGTGTGTGTGTGTGTGTTAGGTGTGCTGTAGCATGTGGGTCAGGGGGTCAGGGGAAAACTTGTGGTATTGGCTCTCTCCTTCTACCCTGTGGATTCTAGGGATCAAACTCAAGTTGTTAGGCTTGGGGACAAGTAAGTTGTCTCACTAGCCTTGTTTGTTTGCCTTTTGGTGTGTGTCAGGTGCTGGGAACCAACCTAGGACCTCGAGAATGCTAAGCAAGTACTCTGCTGTCGAGCCACACCCTAGTCTTGTACATTGTTTGACGCCACTGCGTTTGTGCTCGCCTGTTCCAGCAGTGTGGGCAGATAACAGGTGGCCCTGGCTTCTTGCCAGCGGCCTGCCTCATGTGTGTATGCATATGGGGGGTTGTACTCCATCCTGGTACTTCCTGTAGTGGTGTGGGCGGATACTCCTGAGTGCTGCAGGCCTTGCTGGGGTAAGACCCATACCTGGGACAGAAAGGGCTAACTTTCAGGGGCAGGCTCACCATGAGACCCACCCTGCAGGGTAGGATGCCCAGGGAAAGGCCAGAGGCCAGGTGCAGGACTGCCTATAATTATCAGCATAGGACACTTTCAATTTTCCTTCTTTAAGGAAGAAAGAAGGAGACACATACTGGGTGACATCCCACTTCTGTGAGTTGGGTGGTCACAACCAGGTGATATCCACAAGTACCCCCAAGAACCGGGGACGTGACTATTTGACTATTTTAGGAAGAAGTTGTTGTTGACCTCTAAGCCTGGGTCTCAGCAATCTGGTGGCTCTTTGCCTCTCTCCCCGGCCCTCGCCCCTGGGCTTTGTGTACTGAGAGGCAGGGGTAGCTGTTTCACACTAGCCCTGACCCCATCACCAGCTGATCTCCAGACGGGAGTCCTCTGAGATTTTCCCAGGCCACCCCTACACCCTGAGCTCTAGCTCTAGCTCTCCTGGGTGGAGATCAACAGCGTTGAGCTCAAGGGAATTCATTTTAGCATAGCAGAACACACTATAAGGAGGGTATGCACACAGCACTGTCCACTGACATTCAGGATTGAATGCCCCTGTAGGCAAGACCTGGGTGCATGCAAATAAATAAATAAATATACAGATAAATAGTGGAGGAACCGTTGGTCACACTGGTCATAGTACTAGCAGTGGGGTGGCTGGCTTAAAACACCAGACACATACCTCACAGATCTGGAGGCCATAAGTCCAAAACCCTGCAGCAGGCCCCACTCAGAGCCCTGGCACAGGTTCTGAGTATCACCTGTCCTATCTTTTCCTGTGTTCTCCCAAGTGGTCCCCACACACTGACGGGCCTTGGGAGAAGGAACTACTAAGGCACCCTTTCCACACACCCGGTTCTCTTGCGCCTGAGGTCCCTGGGTGCGTCTAGCTTCTGTGGGGGGCAAATGGACGGTGAAAAGCCACAAGAAGTCACTGTGCTGTTCTGAACATCAGTCAAAGCCAAGAGAAGCAGTCAACGCTTCAAAACCATGCAGGAGGTCAAGAAGCACAAAGGGTCGGGTGAAGGCTGGTTGTTCACCTTTTCTATGCTCCCCGGGAAAGGGCAGGCTTACTGGCCGAGCACAGCTGTTTGCTCATGCTACGCAGGCGCTAGGACCCCTCCTCAGACCTGTGGTAGGACCAGCTTAACAGGGTAGATGGGCTGTGGGCCTCAGGTGGACACTTGCATTTCTGCGGGAAGGCACAAGGGGCCTGAAGGAACAGGTCCAGGATCAGGGCTGACTTTGGGGATATCCTGGCCGTTCCAGGCCCAGCTGGATACAGGGTGTCTGGAAGCCTCACAGGTGACAAGCTGGGCTGGCAGTGTCTGAGTATAGGGCTCACATCAAGGAAACACCAAGACGACCTGGTCCATGTGAATACCCACATCTGAGGCTGCCCTACTATGTGTGTCATAGACAGAGTTGTGTTCTCCCAAGTATCTGCTGAAGTCCTAGCCCTGTACCTGTGGACTGACAGAAACAGTCTCTGCAGGTGTAAACGGGATGACAGTGGAGTAGAGTAACCCCAACCCTATCGTGTCCTTGTAACTCAAGAGAGGGGCACAGACATGGGAATCCCCAATAGAGGACAGACACAGAGCTTGGGTGATGCCGCTTCAGGCCGCGGAATGACAGAGATGGCTTGAAGCTACCAGTTAATCAGGAAGAAAGGGCCCTTGTCATTCTCTAGGGCATTCAGAGAGAACTCAGTCCTCCCTGCACCTGGGTTTTTGGCTTCTAGCCCCCAGAACTGTGAAGTACACTTCTGCTGTTGTAAGTCAGCCACCCCATGGCTGACACTGTGACAGGCACGGCCAAAGGCCACTTTATGCACACACCTGGTGTGACTGGAGGCCCATTGTGCCCTCATTCCTCTGTCTTGCCTCTGGGGACATCTAATCCTGAGTGTCAGAACCTTTGGTGTACAAGGATGGAGAGCAGGAGAACTTCCTCCACCCTTGGGGTAGTGTCAAGCAGTCTGAAGGACGCCTCCTCTCAGGTTGGACATCTCTAGGTCCTGGAGTTTCCTGAAAGGTGAGGCACCTGTGGAGGATGGTGAAGAAGTGGATATCAAAATACCTGCTCTTGTTGCCCAGAGCTGCAGAGGGTGGAGCGACCTGCACCTCCAGAGGAACTCTGGAGCCCTGAAAGTCTTCTTCCTGCTATGAAACAGGCATCTCTGGGCCACAAATTAGACCTGTATATGTGCACAGCTAGGCCCGAGGCTCAGCTGCGCTCCAGGTGGGAGATGCTAGTCCCTGTCTCTGTGTGTCACCAGCAGGCAGTTCTCTGGTGCTTCTCATTGGTTTACTGCTCTGTGCTGCTCTGTGCCTTAGGCAGGGCTCACCATGCATGTGCACCTTCCTGGGTATGACCACAGCGCACCCACATGCTCCCTCTTTACCAGCCCCCCCAAAAAAACTTCAGTCTCTCTGTCTATTCAGTCTTCCCTGACCTGCCCCATCATCCACCCACACTGCCTTTGCCAGCCGAGGGTGGGCTCCTGGACCATCCTTCCTCCATGCCCTCCAAGACCAGCCATGTCTGGCCAGTTCTGCAGAAAACCATGGGAGGGGGGTAACTCAGAGCTCCTCAGGAATACCCTCACTTGTCTGTACTGTGAGCCCCATGAATCCCGTGAAGCATCATGGGATTTTCACTATCCCTGGGCAGTGGCTCTCAACACTTACAGCATCCTTCTCTGGTCCTCACTGGCTACTCCTTCAAGCCTTAGTTCACACTGACATTTTACAACTCAGACCCCGCGTCCCATTGACAGACCTCAAGGCTTGAGGCTGAAGGAATGGAAAGGCAAACAACAATAAAACAGAGGAGGGCTCTCCCGGAGGCCCTGTCTCGCTTCAACCCCTCATGCCAGACTGAGGTGCTGCCCAGGGTCTGTGAGGGGACCTGAGGGCAATGCCTCACCGCCTGGCCAGGTGGGTGCGGTCCAGCTGGAACGAGCTCCCTGGCGCTGCGAGCCAGCGCGCTCAGAGCGCCGGGCGCTAAACACCTGCGGACGCGCGCCCTGCCTCACCTGCGAAGTTCTTAGTGAAGACCAGGGTGACCAGCAGGATGGGTACCAGCACGGTGCCGATGGTGACCACGCGGTCGAACGGCAGTTCCAGCTTGAGCTGCAGCAGCAGCGCGGCCAGCGCGCCCGCCTTGTCGTCCTGCGAGCCAGGCAGGATCAGCTCCCTCAGCTTCTCGCCCGCCAGCAGCGCGGTCGCCATGTCCGCCGACTGCTCCAGGAGGTGGTGCATGGGGGGGCGGGGGCGCGGCCCGGCGGGGTACGGGCGGGGGGCGCGGGCGGGGCCGCGCGCCGGAGAGGGCGGCGGGGGGCGACGGGGACCGAGACCGCGGGGATGCGGGGCGCGGGGCGCCGGAAGCGGGATGTCAGCGGGGATGCGGCGGGGCTCGGGGGTCTGCCACCCCGTGAGAGGGGTCGGGCTGCCAGGGCGCCGGGCCGCCGCCGCCCCCTCCGTGCGCTGTAGCCGGCCCGCGCCCTGCGTCCCTCCCGGGGGCGGCGGCGGCTCTCCTGCCTGGGCCGCGCGGCCCGCTCCCGCCGGGGAGGGGGGCTGTTTACCTGCGGCAACTCCGCGGCGTGGCTCCGCCCCCAGCCCCCCCCACCTGCCACGTAGCTGCGGCGTTGGGGATGACTTTGCAAAAAAAAAAAAAAACAAAAATTAAAAATTAAAAGAAATGTAAATGAAATGAACAGAGTTCATAGTGACCATGCCCTAGCATCAGGGTTAGGCCGAGCTCCGGCTCCCCCTAACCTTGGGCACTGAAAGGGTAGATCGCCCACTGTGGGGTCAGCTCTCTTGCTCCTCCGGGCCCCGAACCCCTCATGACTGCAGAGGCTGCTCTGTGAGGTGTTGCAGACAAGGGCAGGAAATCTGAACCCCCTTCCCAGGCTAGAGCCTGCACATAAATATGGGGTGTCCTCTCCAAGGCTCCCATTTGCCTCTTTACTGCAGCCATGTCCCGGACCCAGGGGCACTCAGTTGAATGTTGTGAAGGGACATAGCCCGTGCGGATATGCTTGCTGACCCAGCATCTCTGCTGTTTCACCCACAGTCAACATTCATGGAGCTGGGCCAGCTGGGGGGGGGGGGTGGCTTCCAGCCACCACACTGACTGCCATCTGGGCCACCTGCATGTGCTTTCCTCAGGAGCTACTGTACCCAAACTTCTGTGGCCTTGGCCTCCTGAGGGGTTTCCCGGCTCAGTATCCTCCATCATTGTCTTTCTTGTTATTGTGTGTGCCTGGAGTAGTAACTTCCTTCAGTAACTATCCATTGGCTGTCTGGAAATAGCTCCAGACACCAAAGCAGAAATTGGAGGGGGCAACTTTCCCCTCTCTAGCCCGACTCTGACCCTTTTGGCTCTCAAGGCCCTTACCTGTGAAGAATGCATTCTTGCTTCCACAGATTTTACTTTTACCTTAGTCTCTGCTGTTATTAATTGCATCTCATTCCCCACTCCCAGGGTTCCTGGCTGTATTGAGATGTCCCAGTTACCTATGACAAGACCATCACTCCAGGGTTCCCTGTGCAGTCACTCTGAGGGCCTCTGAATATTCCCTGCACCCTCTTTGGCTTCTCAGAGGGCTACGCTGCTTACGCCCCATCATCCCACCTTCCAGAGCTCAGCATTGTTTCTTTGTTGCCCTTCTCTGATTGCACACTGAATGACCACTTCTGAGTGAATTCTTGTCTTTCTCTGACCTGCAGTTCCTTTATTTTCCAAATGTTGTCTCCTTTGTTAACTATTTGTGCATGCTTCTCCAAGGCCTTTATCTATCTACTCTGAGTGGAGAGTCTTGTTTTGTAAATAAATTACGTGTATAGGTGTTTTGCCTTTATGTATGCGTGTGCACCACCTGCCTGCTGTTGCCAGAGACCAGTAAAATGCCCTGGGGCTGAGGTTACAGACATTACAAGCTGCTAAGTGAGTACTGGGACTTGACTCAGGTCCATGGAGTTTTCCCCAGCACCCATGTCCACTAACAACAGTCTGCAATTCCAGTTCCAGAGACTGAATCCTTGCTCTGACCTCTGCAGGCACTACATGTAGGCAAAATACCCATACACGTAAAGTAATAAAGACAAAAATCAAAGAGTTTAAGTGGAGTTGCCCAATGATGGGGCAATGATGCCTCTACTAGACACCAGAGACTGACAAATAAAAAACCTAGTACCAGGAATGAATTTCCACAGACCCCAAAATATTACAGGCTACTACCATTGTTCTTAGTTACACTACCATTGTTTTTGTTATCCTCCAGAACTTGGTAGTGAGTTCCTTAGTGCTGGCTATACTATGCTTTAGTCATGAGATATGGGGAAATTAAGCCGGTGCTGATCTGGAAGCTTCATTTCTACTGGCTAATTTTCCCAGTGCAATAAGGTGCTAAGTACACTACCAGGAGAGAAAAGTAAACAACAGTCTTATCCAGCTGCGAACCCTGAGACCTGTAATAATGACTGTGGTACGACATGACCACTGGTGCAATATTGGTATAAACATCATGGGAATCACTGTTTTCTGATTAGATGTAAGCTCCACTTCACAATGTGAACCCCTGACCTGGAACCATTGTTGGGGCAAGAACCCGGGTGTGGCTAGATGCGTCACAGGCTCTGTGAGAGAACCCACCTACTATTATTCTGCTAAATGAGCATAGATTAATTAAATCTGATTAATTAATGCACCTTTCCACCCTCATCAATGAAGCTTCTATTTGCAGTAGGTAGTGATTAACACAGAGAGCCACAACTGGCCAAGATGCAGAGAGTAAGAGCCTGGAATTCTCAGACCTAAATCGGGGCTCGTACTGAGCTCACATCCTGTCTCCCGAGGCTCGGGGGTCATTGCTGAAGAGGGGGTGGGAAAAGTTTTAAGAGCCAGAGGTGGTGGATGAATACAAGGAAATAGTGTCCTCCAGACACAACAGGGCAGCTGTATATGAGAACAAACATCAATTTTGACAGCATGAGTAAGTCCCTCGAAAGCTCACTCTAGACTAAATGTCAGCATGGAGAGAAGAGTTAAACATGAAGTCTTACCACTAGCCAGGGAGCTACTGGCTATTGATAGCTGCTGAGGAGTCAAAGAATGTTGCCCTGATAAATGGACCACCTTCCAATGGAAGGCTACCCACCCAGTACATGGGCTGCACAAATTGGACTTTTATATGTGAAAAGGGGGACACCAAGTTGGGTGGGTAGAGTGTGGGGTAGATCTGGGAGGAATTAGGGGAATGGTGAGAATGAATAAAATACATTGTATGAAATTCTCAAAGAACTAAAAACAACAAAAAGCTTCATTTGGAACCATTGTAACTTTACCTCTATGTTTAGTTTTTACGAAATTGGCAACATTTGATTAGGCACTTACACAACTTTAAGAATGACAATACAGATGCAACTCTTGAGCCATGTTCAGCTTCATGGGATCACAAATGAAAGCAACTAGTACTTTCTGTATACAGATTTTCAATCTGAGAAGAGGTGAGCTCAGTAGGCAGAAGCCATTCCACACAACACACAATTCCATTTTAAATGTCCTAGACAAGCAGCATAGGGTTATTCCATTCTGAGTTGCTCTGTTCTCTCACTTGGGAGCTGACATTTCAGTATAAGGCCAGGTGCCTGCGGCAGTCAGGAGCATCAATCATTTTCTTGCGCTTCCTTGGTCAGAACTCATCACTTGTTTTCTGGGGCCATGGGTGATGAATGTGAAATTCCATTTTGGGTACAGAACAGAAAATATATGCCAAAAAGAAAAAAATTTCACATTTTCTTTCATACTAACCTACAAGCATATTTTGTACCGGGGTTCAAACCCAGGGAGAATGGAAATGCAAGCTCAAGGGGGAAAGCACATTTCTAGCTTTGGGGGATGTCCTTTGGTGGACACGGTGGTATAGAATGTTAGTGCATTTTCACCTCACATGAGACACTGATAGGTGGCTCTGTTTTGCCTTGGAATGGCAAGATTTACAATACGATTAGAATTGCAAGCAGCCTTTTAAAAATGAGAAACTGGGGCTGGAGGGATAGCTCAGTAGTTAAGAGCACTGGCTGAGCTTATAGAGGAACCAGGTTTGGTTCTTAGAACCCACATGGCAATTATCAAGCAACTGTAACTCCAGACGATCCTATGGGCTCTGCTGGCACTGCACATAAAACACCCACACACCACAAAGTGAGAATAAGTAAAATCTAAAAAAAGAAAAATGTAGTTAACTTAAAAATAAGCAAGGAAACCCATTTTCCAATTCCACTAGGGGGTATGTGTAGGGAAAAAGGGTCAGCCAAAGAAACACACTTTGGTCCTGCAACAAGAATCAAAGAAATGCACTCTGACCCTGAAACCAGTGCCAAAGAAACATACTTTGTCCCTGGAACTAGAGCCAGAGAAAAAAATACACCCTGCCCTAAAATTAGAGCCAAAGGGCTAAAAAGGACCAGTGAAAGAAACACATGTTGGTCCTGAAACTAGAGCCAAATCTGACCCTAAACCCGTGCAGAAAACTAACCGATCCCTGAGCAGATCTGGCCAATCTGAGCTCAGGGATTGAAATCTCCCTGGAAAAACTGTGCCCCCTAAGAAGCCCTATATAAATAGGCCTGTGACTGTCCAGCTGCCTCCTTCCACCCTGGCAGAGGCAGCCACTCTCCTGGATTCTTCCCTCCCAATAAATCTCTTGAATGAGTTTTGGGTGAGACCTTCTTTCACTTCACCAGGAAAACCCTTCCCTGCTGGAGCAGAGCTGATACACTGGGGAAACCTTTCCCTGGAGCAGGACAGTAAGCTGCTACACTCACTATGACCTGTGGTATTCCTTGGCTCCCGAGTACCAGAATGCCTTTCCATCCAAGCTGTGACACTCAGTATTCTTTGGCTCCCGAGTGCCAGAATTCCTGTCCATCAGATTGTTGTAACACCTACAGTATGATCAAGTTTGAAGCCTGTGCCTACCTGCCTACAGGTGCTGCTGGTCCTTGCTTGGCAGGTGGTCACACTGGTCTGGGTAGTGTCATCCCTGAGAGCAGGGCCTTCTAAACTCTTATTTTCTGTGGCTTCCTTCCCTCACATCATCCAGGCTGCTGCCTGCTCTGTATAAGGTCCTCTATAGTGATTCCTCCTGGCTTCTATTCCTAACTGCCATGATGCTAATCTCTGCCCATCTTTTACATTCTCTGCCTGAGGAAAGCACCTTGTACATTGTGGTCCTCAGGGGGTAGAGGCCCTTGAAAATTCCTCTGTGGGGATTATCCCTCTGTCCCCATCTCTGTGCTCCAGCTAGCCAGGTCCAGTCCCTTGGGATGGAGGGAGAATACTGTTAACAGAATGGGTGTAGGCTTTTAGAGCAGAAGCCTCTGTGGGGATCTCTTTTGCACTCAGGACCTGGGCATGGGCTCCATCATTCCTGTCCTGTGTAGTAAGGGGTGCTGCAGGACTGAAGGAGCCAGAAGACCCTCATCAGGGAGATAGTCCTCACCTGCACAAAAGGTCTGAACCCCACACTGCTCTCCATGGGTTCTGAAAGACCCAGCCTTCAAGTGCAAGTCTTTGGGCAGCAGTTCCTATAGTAGACCATAGCAGAGCCATAGCACCTGATCTGGTCTCTCTCCTAAGCTAAGGGAGGAGGCTTGGTGAAAATTTACTTCTTTGCTTGGTGTCTCTAGAGCACAGACTTGGAAGTCCAGTTTGGTCCATCAAGGAGCCCATCTCACCGAACCCATGAAGGCTCTTAGAAGTTGACATCTACTTGAATGCAGGAACAGGCTAGGGAGGACATATAGGGCTCTAGTACAGGCCCTTACTGACTGCCCTTTTCCAGAAATACTGGGGTCTAGATGAGCCTGGTTCCACCCAATGCCCTTCTCAGTCCTCAGTGGTGGCCTGTAGTTCTCAGGTGAATGGAACTGGTGGCTTGTCCTGCTGTTTCTTACACATCGGGATCAGGATAGAGCAGGTGATGGTGGAGCCAACTCCAGAGATTATAGCCAGCAGGGTGCAAATGAAGACAAAACTCTTATCACACATACAGGCATTCAGACACAGAAAGGGGCCCTGGGTCATAGCATGAATTCTAATTGGTCTTAATAATAAAAAAAATTAAAATAAAAAATGATAAAAAAAAATAAAAATAAAAAAAACCCAGAGTTGGATATCAGGGTAAACACTGAAAGATCAGAGAGACAAAGGAGCAAGCCACAGCCATCTCTTACTTCACCAACTTCTCAGCTGGAAAGGGCATGAGCTCCAAGCAAGCTTTATTTGTTAGAGCACAAACAAAATATCACCACACTGGGTTACTGGAGTGTTTATTTGGGTGGAGGGTAGTGGCAGTGACTGCCCACTGGCAGAAACAAACTGTTGTGAACCAAGGTCAGCACAAGGAAGCAGGAGCAGCTGAGCTGACTCAGTGGTCCCACACATACAAAGTTCAGTCTTGAGACCAGGAAACCACAAGAGACATAGAAGACTGAAGCATGACTGGACCTACGGGTCTGTAGGGTGAGGTGCGATGTCTCCCTGTTGTAGCTGCTGTGCATCAATGGGTCAGACTCTTCTGTGTCCCACAGATCCGGACACTGGAGAAGCGAGCACCTGGAACCACAGTCTTTCCTCCATGGTCTTTTACAGGGTGCTTTGTTTACCTGTTCAGGTACACAAGAGTAGGGTGACATTGACCACTAAAGTCCAGGACAGTGGCTGCTGCAGCCCAGGGGTCAGGAAAAGTAAAAAAAAAAGCATCCAGGCTGGTCCTGAGGCTTCAGTGGGTTTGGATGCATGAAGTCTTGAGGGAGAAGTAGTATAGAAGGGTTGGGGAGTCCT